TAATTGGAGCTATGTTTTCAAGAAAAAATAAAGAAATTAATTTATATGTCAAAAACCACTAGAGTTAGGTTTACGAAAATATTCAGAATGCAATAAAGGATCAAAAAATGCAATAATATATAGGGATCCCATTTAAAATATCACCGGTGATGCTACTTTTTTGTATACGCGGCAACGTCGCATCGTTAAAAATATTTTAGATCGATAGATCAGGAGCAATATCTTAAGTAACCAAATTTTCAGATCATTCCTATGTACCGTTCTCCGTAAACGTACCATCGACCATCAATCACTCTGTATATATTAGGGTGTTTAAAAAAAAGAAATATTGTTTTTTCTAATGGTGTTGAAACATTAATAGTAAATTTAAAAACAAAAATTTTGGCGCCTATTTGAGCCCTTAATATTAATATTAAGGTTTGCCTCAATTCATTTGTTGTTTTTCCATTTCAATAACACGGGAATTTTTATTTTTTTAATTTTGAATTCTTATAACTTTGGAATTGTTTGTTTTCGCAACACCCAAGCGAGAGGAGTTATAGACAATTTCACGCTCTACAAAAAACATCTGAAGGTCAAAGCTCTTCAGATCAACCGTTTCAAAGATATCAGCGATCAAAAATAACACTAATAAAAAATTTCAAATATTTTCAAATAAAATACAAAAAAATATCATATGCCATATTTATATTATTTTTTATGTAAAATCACTTTATTTCTGTTAACCTGAGACTTTACTTTAATATTTTTTCTGTATGAAGAACTAAGGTTGATATGGTACATCCATAGCCTATGGAGGATGACAGTGACAGTTTTGTTGAATCATCCCATACTTGGACATGTTATATACGGCTTTCAAAAGCTATCAAATTGGTTTTTGTAAATTAATGTGTTACTTTTGAGGTGTCTTCTTACTTTTAAAAAGGGATATGTCTTCGACTGATGTTGCCAGAGCCATTGCTTTAATCCATGATGGACGGTTACAGTATTACGTGACAAGTGTTTTAAACGTCACAAGAAGTAAAGTACAAAGGGCTGTAAATCGGTTTAATCAGAATGGCGAGTACTGTAGGAGTCAATGTGGTAGGAAGAGGTGTACGAATGAAGGAGATGATCGCTTTATTCGACTTAATGTTTTACGTGACCGAAGAGTAACTTCTGTGGAAGTTAAAAACGGATTGAAGAACGAACGGCAGGTCCAAGTAAGCGAGAGAACGATAAACATTGGATTACACACCACACAAGGAGCCTCCGCCATAGGCGAAAAATGGTTTTGCTCAAAACGTTGTGCTGTTCTCCTATAGATTCTTTGACGACCGTCTGGTGATTTTAAACAAAAACTAGCTTCTTTGATAAATAGGATATTTTTCCACTCATGAATGCCCCAATTTTGATGTTCCCTAGCAAATCTAAGGCGTTCAACCCTGAGGTTTCTTAGCAACTCGGGTGCGGTTGCAGGTCTTCTTGCGTGTAATCCAATTACCTCCACAGAAGTTACTATTCGGTCACGTAAAACATTAGGTCGAATAAAGCGATCATCTCGTTCATTCGTATACCTCTTCCTATCACATTGACTCCTTCTACTGTACTCACCATGCTGATTTAATCGATTTACAGCCCTTTGTACTTCTTGTAAAACTTGCCACGTAATACTGTGACCGTCCATCTTGGATTAAAGCAAAGGCTCTGGCAACATCAGTCGGAGACTTATCCATTTTTAAAAGTAAGAAGACACCTCAAAAGTAACCCATTAATTTACAAAAAAAAATTTGATTGCTTTTGAAAGCCTTATATGACATGTCCAAGTATGGGATGATTCAACAAAACTGTCACTGTCATCCTTCGTCTACGTCTATTTTTTAGTAAATGTTTAAAATGTGAGCGATTCTCCATTAATTTATCTACAATATTCTTTAATATTCGTTTAAATCCGAAATAAAATAAAAAAGTTATTTGGGATTAAAATTCATCGAAAATTTGTGTGGATCGATTATATATATATTCAGGGTGTATCACGGTCGATGCTAGGTTAGACGTTTATCGAGAACGACAAAAGATATCGAATTGAAATTTTCATAGCAATTATAATATCATTTAAACTATTTTTCTAAATTATTTTAAACAAAATTCCTCTTCCGGTTTTAACGGAAGCGATATCAACTTTGTTATTTTAAATGAATCACCACAATTTTTTTTACATTTTTAAATTCTTACCATCATTCCTTATAAAATGGCTATACCATGTCCTATACCTAAACTTAATAGTTTTTGTTATTATTTTTTTTTTTGTAAAATTCGGTCAGTTTCACCCCAAACAAAAAAAGCTTATTACTTTTTTAATAATAGGTTTACTGAATCAGATATTCGGTTGGATTTATTGAAATCCTAAATCACTGTTTTAAAGATTCCATGTAATTTATTGTAATATTTCTAAAAAGGTACTTGATAAAAAAACAATGTGAATGTAGCTAACTTAAAACAGCAAAAACTTTTTTTATTTTCAATGGAACGCCCTGTATATTTTTACATAATTAAATATGAAATTATAATACCTTTTCATTGATATAACTATTTCCTATATCTAAAGTTAATAATAACAAAGATATTTTACAATTCCTATTATTTAATATTTCAAATTTTTTTATTTTAGTTTTAAATTAATAAACAATGCAATTGGAATCTACGAATAAGTTTCAAAAACTGTATGTATTTATATTATAAGAAAATAATTTATTAATAAGAACATTTTTTTTCCGTTGTTTGTACATAAATTTGTCGCTATGTATACATGTAGGACCTGGTATGTGTATATACGGTTTGATTGAACGCCCGGTACCTTCCTTAAAATGTGTATGGCCGCGATAGATTCGGTTGGGAAGTTTTGTTTTAGGTTAGTAGGTATTATATTTCTAATGTTTTTATTGTTACCGATGTTTGTTGGTTTTTTGTAGAGATTAGACAGTGTGCCTTGTCTGCAGATGAGTTAAGGATATTTATCAAATTTTTGCAGATGGCCTATTCCTCCCTTGTTTGACCTTTTTTGTTTGGCCGGTGAAAATCGTCCGGTTGACAGGTGGTGCGACCGCTCAGAAGCTTAACTCTTTCTTGTCACTTAACGCTTTATTGACCGTTTCACTATATTAGTTTGCACTTGTCCCTTAACTCTTCCTTATCTATTATCACTTAACTCATTCTTGACCCTAGAGTAGTCTGTACTCACTGTAGTTGTTACACTATAATTTGTTTGCACTTTATGAGAAATTATTTTATGGTTATGGCTGTTACCCTATAGTTTGTTTGCACTTTATAAGAAGTTATTTGTTGGATATGGTTTTTACGTTTTAAGAGCTCGCGCTGCTACGATGGGTCTTGCTCTGTCAAGTACTGGGACGTGACGAAGGTTAGAAATTCATAAATTAAATAAAAATAATTTTTTAAATTAACAAAAATTGTTAATAAAATAGTTAATGGAAGAAAATCACTATTCAAATGAAGTTTCGAAGAACTTGTTTATTCTTCATTGACAATATGACAGACTTGCTAGAACATGCAGAAACTTTTTGTATGTTGTATCTTTAATTTGGTTATCCATTAAGAATAAATATTTTCATCAACTCATTTATTTTAATAATAATAAAAATCGGGAAAGTTTTGTTATTCATACCAAATTAATACACATGAGCAACATTTTATCAGTTTTTCTTCATATTATTAGGGTAATTGTAAAATATCTTTCTTAATATTAACTTTAGGTATATGGAATAGTTATATCAATGAAAATGTATTATAATTTCATATTTAATTATATAAAAATATACAGGGCGTTCCATTGAGAATAAAAAAGTTATTGCTGTTTAAGTTAGCTACATTTACATTATTTTTTTTTCATGTATCTTTTTAGAAATATTACAATAATTTACATGGAATCTTTAAAACAGTGATTTAGGATTTCAATAAATCGAACCGAATATCAGTAAACCTATTATTAAAAAAGTAATAAGCTTTTTTTGTTTGGGGTGAAACTGACCAAATATTACAAAAAAAATTAATAACTCAAAAACTATTAAGTTTAGGTAGGGGATTTTGTTCAAAATAATTTAGAAAAATAGTTTAAATGATATTATAATTGCTATAAAAATTTCAATTCGATATCTTTTGCCGTTCTCCATACACGTCTAACCTACCATCGACCGTGATACACCCTGTATATAATAATTGTATAAATTTATACAAATATTGTTATTAGTAGTAGTTCAATGTATTTCACATTTTTACGTCCGAGTCCATTCAACAATCACAAGTGAACTCACTGTGAGCTCGTAGTGATCATACTGTGCGTATATAAACTCACATGTAATTTTGACATAAATATCTGGGTGTAGAAGAAAAGTGCTGTCTAATACAAAAAACTTGGGCAAGTTTAAGTCGTGTAAAATTAAAAGTGGACATAGTAGTTTCGAGAAAAATCCAAAAGTCCAAATGATCCTGTACATTTTACAGTGTTCAATGGTAGAGACACCATAGAAAAATAAAAAGTTTATTTTAGTTTCATTTCGCCAAACATGTGACTTGTATGCCTTTGATTCTACATTACTCAAATAGATCATGCTAAAAATGGTATATGGTCAATATGTTCTAATTTTAAAATTAATTTGGTGACATTTTAATTATTTTTTATTTAGCATAATTCGCTTACTTATTGTTCGGACTATTAAAATACGTTGAATTTTGGTTAACCTTTTTGATAGCTTATTTTTTACTACATAGATTTTCTACCCAGTATTGCTAATAGCAATCTCCTTACAAAAATAGCATTCCCACTTAAAATAAAATAAATTTAAGACATTGTAATAGGGTTATGCACATAATACGTCTATGTTAAGAACACGTTTTTATTATATATTTTTTGCAACCAAAGTGTAAATCCAACATGTAATAAAAAATCTTATTTATAAATATGCAAGTTAATGTACTAACTTTATTTTATTTTTTTATTGCAGGTTATGCTTATGAGTGTTCCTGGTATGGAGGAATTACTTAAAAAATGTTGTGCAACCGCAGAAGACAAAGATAATGAGGAAAAAGATTTTGTTCATCCTACTAGATTAATTAGTTTTTTGGTGGGATTAAGAGGAAAGAATGAAACTATGGCCATTGGGGGCCCTTGGAGTCGTTCTGTGGATGGAGATAATCCCAGTAAAGATCCTTCAGTCTTAATAAAAACAGCTATAAGAACATGCAAGGCACTTACAGGAATAGATCTCTCAAGCTGCACTCAATGGTAAATATACATAATTGTTTGCTTTAAATTTGCTTTACATGACACACCTGTGCCAAAGATTATCAAGCCTATCTAATGACGACCGACGTTCTGGTTAAGTAAAAAAAGAATACATCGCATTTGGCCTCCTTTTAACATTTAAAATTTTGAATTTTGTATAAATTTAAAAAAATGCTTGTAGTCCATTGTTTGCGGTCTTGCTCCCCGCAGCGGCATACAATTTGATCTTGAGAACCATGTCTTGAAAATTTACTTATGGGTTACGGGTTTTTAAGATACCAGCAATCGTTTTTTGGAGCGTTCAATATTTTGAAAAATCATATTTTTGAATAAAGCTAAACAAATATTTTTATAAGAAATCTTGACTTTACTTGATTTTTATTATTAAAAAAGGTGTTCTAAGTCGACAGCATACATTTTACAGTTTTTCTTATTTAAAAAAAATTTACTCAGGGAAATGCACTAATTAGAATATGAAGTTTTTGTTTGATTTTTACCACAAATTTAGTAATTTAAGGATATCAATCAGTAATTTATTTGGAACAACTTTTGCCTAATAAACGGCTAAAATAACAATTTGAGTGGTATTTGACAAAGTAGTAGTGATTGATATAAATAAAAGAGGGTATGCTCTTCCGCAGGCATGAGGCAGTGAACGAGTACCGCTCTTTTTCATTTCCACCAGTTTGTGTCTGTAACCCTGGTTTTAACTATGGTACCTTACCTCAACTTTACTGACAGTTACAGATACCTTAATTCTTGTGAATTTGACAGATACCTAACCTTAATTCTACTGAAAGGGACAGATACCTAACCTCAACTCTACGATTTTTTGTTATTCCTTCCACTGAATCGAGTAGCGCTCGATGCAATGTTATCGGATTTATATTTTATTTCAATGTTGGTAATATTTGATTAAATTAAAAATCACTTATTAATATTCTTTATTTACAAAAGCATTTTCCATAACTGTATGTTAAATTGGTTGTTTTAAATTATATAAATATATATAATAAACGTGCCAGACACTCAAACATAATTAAGAGTGGCATCGTGCAATTAAAAATAAATAATTTACCTACATACATTTTGTTTATTATATGAATTTTACATAGTTAGTAAGTACGCCTATGGTTTATTTACAAACAACGTAAACAAAATGATCTCTAGATTCTTGGCGTATTTGACACTCACACCAATAGTATACTATTTTAAACGTTTTTTTAAACCACTGCACCAAAAATCACAAGCAAAATATGAATTACTTGCAAACGCTTCTAAGAAAACGGCTCCAGTAATATGTAATATTACTTGTCCAGTAATATGTAATATTACTTGTCGACATATTTTTTCATTGTTGACAATGTCAATAACGATATCTACTTTACTGACTGATAAGCTTTCCTCAATAAATAAAATAGTTATTACTATACTTTACTGTAGTAATAATGGAATATAATAATAATCACAATAAAATAATAAATATAATTATTATCATATAAATTTATTAACATAGATCAAACAAGTAGGTACTAGATGTTTTATACAGGTTGTTGTGACGTTAATTGTTGTGAATTAACCTGGCTTGATGAACCATAAATGATGTTGTAAAATGAATCCTCGACGGATCACAAATTATTGATGATTGTGCAATTTGATTGAAACACTCACTTACTTAAAATAACACAACTTTATTAACTATGTACATTACAAAATGTTTCCCAAAGATCTGAGGCTTTCAAATAAGCCCTATGCACTTTGAAATAAAAACATATCTACTTATGAATGGAAGTAAAAAATTAAAACAAACAACTTATTATCTAAATATTGCAATATTGCAATATTGCTACAATTACGATTATAAATGATCTATTGACTAAATAATTACAGTAAGTACAGTTGTTGTTATGACAACATGACAAAAATAGCCAAAGGATTGTTTTGTTTTAACTTCACTGAAATTTGCTACTTAATTCATTTTCCGTCGGTAACAAACACACTTTATTAACTGATGTTTTTATAATGGTGCCGGAAGGCATTTTCAAAGATACCACCCGCACTTATCCGTCTTGACCAGGGTGCAGCTCGACAATTCTGCCCATGGGCCATTTTCGCGGCGGCGCATTATCCTCTTTAAGGATCACTAAATCACCAATTCGAACATTGTCTTTGAGAAACTGCCATTTGTTTCGAACTTGAAGTTGAGATAAATATTCTCGCGACCATCGCTGCCATAAATGTTGAATTATCTGCTGTTGACGTTGAAATCTGTTTAATCGACTTTCTTTGATATCGGTGACATCTTCCTCAGGTAGTGCTGCCAATGAATCACCAATAAGGAAATGACCAGGGGTTAATGGCAAAAAGGATCGTTGGAAATAGCGGACAGGGGACGGGAATTTAAGCACGCTTCTATTTGGACAAGTACAGTGTAAAGTTCTTCAAACGTTAAAAACACATTGCCAAGAATTTTATTTAACTGATTTTTAACTAATTTAACACTGGATTCTCAAAGTCCACCCATATGGGGTGCCTTGGCAGGAATTATGATGTGACATTTGCACGTCTTAAGTATGTCTTATATACGTTATTTTTTGACGTTGGAAGGTATTTTTACTATACCTACTGAGTGATCTAAAGTGTTTACGATTTCCATGCTTGGTTCAGCGTGAATTGTGATTTATGGGAGTGCTTTGACGCTTTTGCCTAGTGTTTGTATAGGAAAAGCTCTCAGTTGTTTTTGTCTGTGCCCCTAACTGTTAATGAATGTTTATTGTGAGCCGTTATATGGGGTTATTCTCAGTTATTCTCAGCGACTAATGAATTATTTACCTGATGGGGATTTTTGTTTGTTCGATTGCGAAATGCGAGTATGGATTAAGTATTTGGGTATTATTGTTAGGGTCATGCAGTTAAGGTTTACTTATCCGGTTTTTGCAGACTTAATATTCAGGTACATTGACACAGTTTGGCAGGTGCGATAAAGTTGGCCCTTGACCTTGACTACCCACTGTCAGGGTTGGAATAAGTCATGACTTTTATAAAAAAAGTCAAAAAGTCCGACTTTATGAATTAAATCAGACTTTTTGGAATTAATTCACTTAAATAAATATTTTTTTTGCTTACTAAAACAACACAAAAAAAAATTATTTTCTTCAAAAATCTTAAACACAAAAACGGCGATTTATTTATAAAAAACAATTAATTATCCTGTTTTAAACAGGGTGTTATGCTTATACTACATATATGTAATTAATGGTTAGACACGTGTGTTCTATGAATACATAGATACCAACCAACAAAGTAGCTGCGCGTTTCCAGTTGTAAAAAATGGTAACTAATAATTTTTCTTGCGGAAAATAAATAAAAACTCAATAAATTCAAAAGATATTTACAATTTGAGCACATAATCTAAAATTTTAAAGAAATGCACTAGATTCTGCTTTGTTGATTTTTTAATTAAGCTAAATTTAAACAAACTCTGGAAACTTTTTTTGACAGAATCTGGAAACGCTGGTTGATACCAACCATAACGTAATAAATTAAATTAGGCAACCATATTAGCCTAAAGATTCTAGTCGATCAGTGGCGTACTTTTTGGTAGGATAAAGGATATTATAAATTATTTTTAGTCTTAAGAATTTACTAAAAAAAAGATTAAGGTGCTTCTTTATGGACCCTAAGGAACTACCCATTTTAATATATTAAATTAATAACGTAAACCCTGTATATATACACATGGTGTTATGTAATTAATGTTATATATTAAAATGGGTTGTTCCTTAAAGAAGCACCTGAAACTTTTTTTTCTAAATTCCAAAGACTAAAAATAATTTATAAATTTTATAAATTTATAAATACTGATCGACTAGGAACTTTAGGCTAATCTGGTTGCCTAATTTAATTTATTATGTTATGGTTGGTAACAACAGCGTTTACAAATTCTGTCAAAAAAGTTGCCAAGCATTGTTTAAATTTAGCTTAATTACAAAAGTGACAAAATCAACAATGCAAATTGTCAATTGGGCGTTTTTATTAATTGTTGGTTATGTCATTTTTGTACTGAAGGTAAATTCAAAAAAATTTGCAAACTTTTATGACAGAATCTAGTGCATTTCTTTCAAATTTTTGGTTATGTGCTCAAATTGTAAATATCTTAACTAAGGGAAGTGCTTTTGGATTTATTTACACAAATTAAATGTTTAACCTGTGAACTGGTCCCAATTTCAGTAAACAGAAAGAAAAAAACTGTGGAAAAAATTAATTTTGTGGTTATGGATTTTTTAAAATAGGTACTAAATTTTCTAATCATTGCTTAAGCTAATAGCTGAATGAGTAAATAAATACAGAAGGGTATTAGAGCTTTAAGGGCATAAAACTTTTGTATTTATTGACTTTATTTATTTTTTACATCTGGCAACGCGCAGCTACTTTGTTGGTTGGTATCTATGTACTCACAGAACACAAGTGTGCAGAGATAAACCAAGTGTGTAACCAAAAGGTATTCAGTATTTTAATATATAACATTAATTACATAACACCCTGTATATATATATATATATATATATATATATATATAAATTGAAGTTGATAATACAATTTGTACCCATTCTAAAAAAATTGAATTAATTCGTGACTTTAATAGCATTAGTGCGTTATTTTTGGGACACTTGTATATGTTTGGGGCCAGACTGTGAATAGTGTGTTATTTTTAAAATAGATAAATTACCTTTGACCGTTTTACTATCAGTTCCTCTTTCCCTTTTACTAAATATTTAAATATTAGATTAAATCAAAATGGTACGTAATTCCTAACAATATATTTTAAACTGGAATAAATAAATTTTAATAAGGTATTTTTAGACTTAAGACTCTAGACTTTAGAGTTTGGATCGTACTAAAATGAACCACGTGCTAGAGTAGATTTTGGTGGTATTGGCTAAAACAACAATTTTTTACAGTGATTTTGGCTTTTACAAATTTATATTCTCTAATAGGTACCGTTTTGTGGAACTATATTACCGACGAGCCGAGTCGACACACAAGGGAAATTATGTAGCTGCACGGGTCGAGACCGTCGTGCTCTTTCTGCCTGACGTGTGGAGTTGTCTGCCAACTAGGTTGGAATGGGATGAGTTGCAGTTAAGCTACAAGCAAAAGCTGGAACTTAAATTGAAGTTGGATATAATGGCAGAGAGCGATGATACAACAGCGGCTGCAGATGAAAAGGCACTTCTCTATTTTTCATTGTCAATTGATCGCACTATAGTTTAAATTACGAATATTGTCAAACAAGTTTTATATTTTACATTATTTATATACATTGAACTTCTTATTTAGACCATTGTGCGAATAAAATTTTTAATCTGTTATCATGGGATAGGAATATGCTGTGCAAAGAGCTGGGCCTGTCTACTTCTGCTTGAACAAATAAAGGGGGCTTGTTCATTAAATTGTATTAGTATAATGTTGTATTAAATATAAATAAAATTAAAAAACTAATTCCAAATATTTTTCTATAGGAAGAAGAAAACACAACAGATAAGTGTGAACCTACTCATTACTCTTTATTGGATCCTAAATCAATGGGCATTGGTAATTTGAAAAATGAATTAAAAGCTAGAAACATGAACTATAAAGGTTTAAAATCACAATTAGTTGCTAGATTAACAAAAGTATTAAAAGGTGAAATGGAAAAGACAGTTGATGAACCAAATACTTTAAAAGAGTCTCAAGCTATTGAGTCTTTAATGGAAGAAACCAAATACAAGGTAAGTCTAATATCATGCACGATCACATGATCATGATCACATACATGTATGTAATTTTGATGGATAAATAAACCTGGTTTAGTAGGATTTTAACAATATTTTTAAATTCACCAGATTTGTCATTCTCTATAGTGCCCGTAATGAAATACTACCGCACCTTAATATTTTTATTAATAACAGACATTGTAAAAAACTTTTTAAAAATTTTCTTATTTGCAGAATTACTGCATTGATAGAGTATTGTAAAAAGAATTGCTCTCAATAAAAGCATATTGTTATTTAAAAGAATATAAAAGTCAAAATACTATTGTCATAGATTGCAAAAAATTACTTTGTAATTGTTACAGTTTATGAAATTGTGCTAAATGGAAAAAAGAAAAGCTTTTATAGAGAAAAGTTTAATATTATACATAGTTTTTGACAATTGTCGTGCATTGCAAAGACTCAAAGTGTGCGCTGTTTTACTATTTTACATAACAATTTGCGCTATGATATTAAATACTAAAACGGCGTTCCATAACCCTATAGAGTATACGTATTTGTAAATTAAAGTAAATCAAATCATGTCACGGTTTCTGGTTATGTAACTGTATTGTAACAGTGTTTTATTATAGTTATGTAACCGTTATAAGACAATTATATTCCATTTACAGAATTGTTGCATTTTATTATTATATATTATCTCACTGGTATTAAAAATTTCTTAGCCCTAACTTGGTATTATGGCAAAATTTTGTAGATGGTATTCTGTCATAGTGTAAAGGGGATGATAAAAAATATTTAATGCTTGTTGCCGATTTTGGTCTGCCACTTCTTTTCACGTTTTTAACGCTACCAGTTTCTCGAAATTTTTTAATTAGTTGACAGATTTTTCCTTGAGATACAGGAGTACCTGGGTAAATTCCGTTAAATACAGTACACATTTCGCTTTGGGTGCCCGTTAAATTAATATTTTTATACGTTGTCTCTCACTCTAATGTGCCATGTCTTTAAAATGAATAATTAGCAAGAATGTCGAACAAAACTTTGCTTTAAACCAAAAATGATTTTTTTTATAACTGCATGACTTTTTCCATAGCTTCCCTATTAGAGATGACGAGTAAGTCGTAATAAATATTTTTTTTAAATTCAAAAATTGTATGGTTGAATAGAGAGTAATATGCTTTTTTCATAATGAACAAAAAATGTGTGCCATTTAAAAAAATGGTTGCCATAGAAACAAAATAAAAAATATATAAAATATTGAACTTTTTTTGTTATTTGCAAAGTTAAAGTCATTATTTGATACTTTTTTCCTTCCTGTATAAGGGTGTTTAAATTTTTTGTTTACAGTCTAAAAAGAATCCTTGAAAAGACTGGACACTGTAGCCCGGATTTCCGGAAAGATTTTTGTAAAAAAACTAAAATTACAATATTCATTTCTTTGATTAGGGCTCGTAGAAAAAGCTTAAACTCCACTTTGCGGGATCCTATTCCCTGCGAATTAGGGTGAAAACTTAATTTTCCTTTCGAGTTTTTTCTTTGATTTTATATTTATCCAAAACGGTAAGATTTAGATAAAAAAAACAAAAATGCCCAAAAATGCTTTTTGCGACGGAACATTTTTGCGCGAGTTTTTCTCTTTTTACTAGGATATATTATTATATATTCTCTTTTTACTAGGATAAAATAAAGAAAATTTGCGTGTTTCCAAGCCTTTCAAAACCAAAAATCGTTATAACTTCGTAATTCCTACCAAACTTTTCTCTAATTTAAACGACCTTGTAGCTCTTCAAATAAAGAAGATACCCATATATAGAAGGATACTTGGTGCCATCTGATACTATACAGTGTTTAGGTTGGTCTAGTTTGTTCAGTCTTCGGGTGTATTTGTGTATAGATTTTCTTCTAAAATTTAAAAGATTATTTATCTACGCTCACTGGCAAAAAAACCGGCCACCAGAAATTGGCCAGAATTTTAATGTTGATTTCCTCGCGAAGCGCTCATCTAATTTTGATGTTTTTTTTGTTAAATTGTTGGTTGGCTCCTTAGTTACAATGCTTTGGTAAACAATTTTGTTTAGATTTTAATTTAAGCATAAGTAAGAAGACGTTTTTCCCCCGAAATTTTTAACATTCTGTGGAGTGCATCAAAGGTAACATCGGATGTCAGTTGAGCTACAAGGTAGGTTAAATTAGAGAAAAGTTTCATAATTACAAGTCCATTGAAATGGCATTTAAAAATTGGAAAACAAATCAGCGGTTCTCAAATAATTTTAAAAAAACTTCGTTATTTCTGGAAAGAAAAGTAAGAGGCATAATAATTATAATTATAATTATTATAAATATAAATTAAGTTAAAACTATCAGTGTAATTATAATTATTAGTGTAATGAGCGATATATACGTTGGCAAAGAGAAGAAAAAAAGGGCGAATTTCGTCGAATAATACTCAAACTAAAACTTTAGGATAATGAATGGTTCTTTAGATTGTTTGTTCTGTGGATACACCAGAATACACTTGAAAAAGATCTGTCATCTGTTTGCATGGCTACTGCCCTGATTGCTACCAACAATGTTCTAGTGAAATCATGAAAGTTACTAAAATTCACACATAAGAAACCCGTAAAGTTGAGATGATTTCAACTTTACGTATTTTTTACGGTCACCCATAAGATCTTATGTTCGAACGTAAAACGTAAAAATTACGGCTATTCATTATAAACAGGCACACTGGTTTTGTTAATGTTCAACTTTACGTTTTACGTATTTCTTACGGGCATCTTATGGTTACGTCCATTATGAATGAGCACTTATTCCCTTTCGCTAAACATGCATGTTCATAAACTACATATGTTTAGTAACAATTTTAATTATTTCGTCTCAAAGAATCACATAAGGGGTGACGCCAAACAAATAAAACAATTTTTTTTGCAATATTAAAAATATGTTTATGGTTTGTGTTTTTAATTATTAAAATGTATTTTTTAAAACAAAAATACAAATTTTTCTTTACTAAATTATTTGATAAAATTAATTTATTTAGAAAAAACAGAAAATTTAAAAAATGCCGTAAGAATTTTGGGAGAGGGAGGTCAACAAATATAAAATACCAAATACCTACAGTGTGACCCATTTGTTTGCGACTCACCCATGTAAAATCTTTATTTATTGTGCGATTTTAACCGGATTTGTATTAAATTTTATTGAAAAATTTTAAGAAAAAAATGCACAATAATAATTTAAAAAATTTAGTTATATATAAAAAACATTGAAATAAAATTGAAATTATAGTAAAAGTACCATGTTACTATTAGTTTAATTTTATTTCAATGTTTTTTCATGGATAACTTGACAAAATAATTTTTTGTAGTTATTATTGTGCATTTTTTTTCTTAAAATTTTTCAATAAAATTTAGTATAGGGTCGTTTTGAGGGGTGGTGAATCCAGTGCCGTTTTGTTTAAAAAAATCGCTAATATGAATTCTTAAAAATTTACTCTTAAAAACTGACATAGTATGCCGTGTATTTTGTAAAAATATACAATTTTTTGCTTCAAAAATACAGTTTATCAAGATCTACACTTTAAAACAAATCCGGTTAAAATCGCACAATAAATAAAGATTTTACAGGGGTGAGTCGCAAAAAACTGAGTCACACTGCATGTAATACAAAAATAAAGACAAAAAAATAGTCAAACAAAATTATCAGAAGTAATAAAATACAAAAAAATATGCATCTAAAAACTCATCTCAAATTTTTTCTTGAAATGGCAGCTAAAACTTTTTTGTTTAATTTTAAAATCCCTTTTAATTTTTATCAATACCTTTTAAAAACTCTACACTAAAGAACACCTTTGCTAATCATCAGAGTTTGACTTTGACTTTCTATTGGCCTCTTTTTGCCTCTCTGTTGTAGAAGGGGCCCTTCACCCACACAGCCTTTGTTGACCTCAAAGTCTGGTAAATGCAGAGTTCAAGAGATGGTAATCCCTTCACCACTAACTTCCCTATTAACTTATCCTCAATGTCATTAAGTTGTTTTACTGGCTCCTCGACATTGCCAGTCTCCATGTGAGAAATGCCTAGTTTCCTTGCTCTTTTCCTTACATGGGCCTTCAAGTCACTGAAAGAATATGTAGAAAAAAGTAACAAATAATTATTTAAAATTTAAGATTACCCTTTTCCATTTAATGATAGACTAAATGGCCCGCCAATAGATCTGTTCTTTGGCTAGTTCAGCATAAAATTTTTTTTCCAAGTAGGTATGTTTAGAATTGGTTGATTTTCTGAAGTTGTTTTTAAGTTCATTTAATATATTTTATATCACCAATGATTTTTAAAATAATTATTTAACACTATTTTAGTTTACGATGTGCGACTTTTAGGATATTAAACTAAGATACTGTCTGTCCTAGACACATTTATCGCTATTCACGGAATACCTTTAACATAGGTGGTGTTTGGGTTGTCCTTGGGTAAACATTCTTACATGTTAAGAAATCGATGTTTATGAACAGCAAAAAAGGGAATAGGCCTCTAAGTTTCACATTTTGTAAACTCTTGTAGAGTTTAGGGAATGTTGAGGGTAATTAGGTAGATGTAAATGATAGACTGGTTGTGGTTGAAAGAGAGAAAGTTTTATTAAATTAATTCCTATTTATACATAATTCTAATGTGACATAGCAACTAGATAATTTAAAAAATGTGCAAATATGCAATTTTATCGGCGATGACCGATTAATTAGGTACTGATTTTGTAGGCTCAGCACCTTTGGGTCGGTCACCGCCTCGAAATATTAAATTATTTAAAATAATATAAAAATTAAAAAATAATTAATATAAAATTTTGGAAAGAATTAGATATTAAATTTGTTTAATTGACGATTAAACAGCCTTCCCCCTCTCGATTGCTGGTTTGCCATCAGTTCCATCATTTGGGTCTCCTGGATGCTGGATTATAGTGGCATTAGTTCCATCAGTTGACCCTCCTGAGGTGATGATCTGGTGGTTGTTGAAGCT